ACAGTGTGTTACGCTGATTCATGACTATTCAAAACAAGTGAAGAAGTAACTTTTACTTTTCGAGCCTAAAAATCGTGATTATTGTAAATAGAACAGGAAGATCAAATGAAGACCTCCTAAAAATTGCACGACACCGAGAAAGTACCTGCGATGAATCTTTTTTTTATATTTCTTCTTTTTTTCTTTGTTATAGGATTCATCGCTGATTTGCGTGGATCGTACATCCCTGCCTTTTACACAGCAGGATCGCTTCAAATTTTTGCAGTTGGGATTCTCTTCTTATCTCACTGTGGCAAGAACGGTTATTTTCAGACAACACAGATTGTAGTGCGAAGGACAAAAATCTATTCGCTATCAAAAGAATGACATTCGTCTAAGGATGAACTTGTTTTACTTACTTATATGCAAAAGTGTTTTGATATTTTACTTCTCAATTTCAAACCCAGCCTTCTCTAGTCCATATCAGAATTTGTGTATTCGTTTTCCCCTCGCGCTCAGAGGACTGTGAGAGGAAAGAAACAGTCAGAAAGTAGTCTTGGCTTAGTAAGGAAACTTAGACTCTTTGATAAATCACTAAGCATGGTTTTAAAAGTTTTAGGAATCTAATTAAAAGATATAGTGTTTTTGGGTGTTAAGTTGGTCGTCCTTCATACTTTTTACCGATTACACTTCGTTGCTTTTGTTTGAAGCGCCAACGATACTTTGAATACCCGAACCTAATTTATCTTTCTGCCGACTATTAAAAAATTACAATACTACTTTACTAGGCCCTTATAAGACCTGTTTTGGCTTCTCTGTCGGTAATTTTCCCAGGTCTAAATTTCCTCGGAAAAATGATTCTCACTGAGATGAAACATTTCGTGTAGCTGGTATTGGGGTGGGAGGCGGGAACTTTCGAAGGGTAGGAAGCAGGGAAAAATAGTAAAATGCATTCATCGTTTATCAGTAGTGTTTCTTAACTGAAAAGCGGAAGGAGAGGGTTGAAGGTTGGCCGGAAGATTGTAGGAATAGTGAGATTCTTACAGACAGTTCCCTCGACGAAACCAAAGAGAATATGATGCGTAACGAGCCTCAGTAAAGTTTTTTGGTTTGGCATTAGGTATCTACCTACTGCTTCACGGGCTAATTCGAGGAAAACGCAAAGTTTACCTTAAAAACACAACAATGAATCGAATTTTTGAATGAAGTTGGCTTAAAACAGTCTGCCGCCTTTTCGCCAGGATGAACCGCAAAAATTGCCATTCTGTTATCAGTTTATTCAAGAAATATCTGTAGAACTAGTTGTCTTCGTCAATAAACCCAGACATTGCTTCATTGCGGCTATGGCAGTCATATAACCCAATTTATCATAAAAATTGCAATTTCCTCGATTGTGATTGGTTTTAAAAACTCTTATTTTACACTAATTCACTTGCCAAGTTGTTATCGGATAGTTTGTCATCAGACAGCTTGTTATCGGACAGTTCCATAAGCCAATCACTTCAAAGTTGTAGTTTATAGCAACCAATCACAGCCTTGGTTCCCTTTCTTTCATAACTTGGCTACTCTTTTCTCGGAAATTGTAATTTTTATGATTAATTGGTAATAAAACTTCGAGTCGTGTCTTCGTGATAGACAAATCGAACTCCCGCAGTGTACGGTCGTCCGATCTTGTTATCACTCGTATGATTACAGACCGAATTGGACTCCACTCAGTCCTATTATCATAACTAAAAGCACCTTTCTTCATTTCGCATGCCTATAATTCTTTTGATGAGGCTCGACGGACCTAATTTGAACGTATCGCAAAGTTAATGAAAATGTTTAAGTCTCCTTTCTTTTCTCACTACGTACGATTCAAGACGAACCGGATCCATGAAGTTATTCTATCTCTGTCCAAGGATCACTAAAAAAATGGCAAAAAGTTGCAAGGATGCCATGAAACTTATGTCGCCTCAATGTGTACTACATAAGTTATTGTTGCTGCAAGATGTCGCTGCAAGATGTCCCTGCAACTTGACCCCTGGCCCACGTTTACACAATGCAGACGTTGTCCTGGAGAACGTGACTTTGACATTCGATTCGAAAAACACACCGATAATGTTTTTGAAGAATGGATCACGCTATGGATTGTGAGCGTTGGAATTACGAGCCGAATGTGAAGAAAACAGAAAGAGTCTGATTATTTCGATTCCGAGTCCTTCGAGAGTGACCCCGATCTTCAGAGGTGCTGTCACCGAGTGAAAATCGCTTACGCGACTCCGACTTCAACTCCTTTGTCAGTGGAAAGCCTCTTGAAGGTCACGAAGATAAAGGTTTGTTGAATCGCCTCGAATGTTCCCATCAGGAAAATACACAGCTGATACGATTTTCAAGTTTTAGCTCATCCTCAAAAGCTAGCTTTATGCGAACTGTTGTTAAAAATGTAATGGTTAATCGTTAGTTGGTTGGTCCTTTCCATGCGTTGAAGTAAACAAGTATATGTTTAATTGGTCATTGGAACAGGCCTTTCATCGGATGTTATGGGAAGCGCAATCCTCAAGACATTGAGACGATTTTCGGCCTTCACCTAACTTTTTTTTTGATAAATTCGATTATTTACAAGGAAACACAGACCAACCTCAAAATTCCATGTCAATTAAAAATGTGGTGGTTATCTACTGTGTCCGCGAAAAAAGAAAATTTAAATTATTTTAAAGGATCTTGTCTTGAACAGCTTTTTAACAACAACAAATGGGGTATCACGAATACTCAGACCTCAAAAACTTAGACCTTAGATACCCCTAACAAATGAGCAGATTAAGCAGATGTAAAACGTATAAAATTGGTCTCAATCGAACGTGACAATAACACTCTTCGCCGCTTGCTTGCATTTTTCACCATGAGTTGCCAGGGCCGAGAAAGAGCTACAAGAGAATTTTATTTGTCTCAGTGATTGGCGAAGCGACGATCTCCTGTCAGCGAAATCAAGGTTGCATTGCAAAAAACATGATTGAAATGAATAAACCCTGGCCGCAAAATATTTCCTCTACTAATTTTCCGATGAATTAAAATTGCCCGTAGCTTATTTTAATGTAATTAAGCTATCAGCATTCACTATCGCCATTTTTTCTGCATCGCTGCGTGAATTATAGATTTTTTGTGGGAAAGTTACTTTGAATCTATTGAAATAAGCTAAACTAGAGCTGCAAATGTGAAATGAAAGGCTCTCCTGCTCCAAGGTCTTGACGTCTTTGTGTTTTGTGTGTAATTCGGCCGCAAATGGTGCTTGTATAAAACGGTTTTAGGGTTGAATGTACGTTCAAAGTCGTTGATATATTCGTGTTCTTCATATCTGTAGTTATGTTTAATTAGGTTGGCAAAAATTCAAAATTTAATTAGGTTGACAAAAATTCAAAATTTTAGGACCTTTGACTTTTGAAGTTTTTTGGGGGGAAATTTCTTCTTTGAATTTAAATTCTTACAAACCTTGGTATATATTTTTAAGTGAATCATAAAGCATATTCAGTCTCTCATTGAAAAAGTCGAGTGAAACTCCGTACCTCAGTGTAAGACTACTAAGAGTAAAGAATTATTGTTTTCTTAAACAATACCTTGGTTTCCGATATCGTCGGTGCATGCATCGTTAACTAGAAGAGTTATTCAATTTTTATTGTTCCAGTACTGAGTATGACTATTGGAAAAGTGACAGTACCGCTCTTAATAAAAAGAAGTGATCTTGTCGCACAGCTTGTGAATCTAACTTCAGTCTGTATAAAAAAAAATGTCTGTACAGAAAAAAAAAATTATTTAATAAAGGGCGGAAGACGGGAATTAAAGGTGTGCAAAAGGAGAGGAGAAGGAACGTGGGGGGAACTTCTCACTCCCTGACCTGCCCCCCCCCCCCCCTTCCCACGTTCGAAAAACAAAATTCTGATGCGAAGAACTCAATTGGATATTGTGGTTTGACACCAGCTATCTACCTGTTGCTATATGGGCCAGTTCTGAGAAAACGCGGAGTTTACCCGAAAATACAAAAGGGACTAAGAATACGACAAAATAAGCTGTAGAATAAAGCTGGCTCAAAACAGTCTGTACTACAGTACAACTCCGCCAATTCGACCTTCCAAGGAAAACGAAAAATGGTGCGAGTAAGCGAGTAGATATTACAAAAAGGAATAATGTTTTCCCATTCTCACACAATCAACAATCATTTTAGTTCATTTAGACTTTTTTTGGTTTTGTTTTGTTTTTTAAAGTTTTAAGTAGTTTATACGTTTTGCTAAATGTATTACATTTTCATAAATGTTATCACGTTCGACTCAATCGCGATTTAAAGATTGGGACGTGACACTCAGACACTTATGAAGGTCATCAAACGCGAGGTATTTAGGGTTAATTTGGGCCAAAGGTAAAGTAGAATTAGTTCGAGCTAACAAGGAGTTCGGGGAAAAACGGATCTTGTTCGAGTTAGCGGAGTTCTACGGTACTTCGCAGCGATAAACCAATAATGCGATATTTAATATTGTACTGTACTGGTATTGAAAAAAAATACCCGGTGAACAGGTTTCGTTCGTTCGTTTCACTTAAACGGCTGTACGCGACGTTATTTGTTATCACCTCATCAAACCAAAGAAAAATTAAATTATTTTCATTTTGTTTTCACGACATAAACCGTTGCCGTTACTACTTTTTAAGCCAAGATGGCCATTTAGTCCTATTTAGGCATCCGCTTAATCTCGTGCTTTTATTGTCGGGCCAAAGTCCAAGAAAATGTTTACACGAAGTAATAATATTTTGTTTTTCAGTTAGACTTAATTTGCATGCATAACCTCGTCTGGTTCTTGTGAGTTATTATGCAGACTCAACGAGGCGTAACTTCTTTAAGATGTACTCTGCTTTGTGAAGTTTCTATAAAACACAGACATTCTATCCAATTTAGAGCAGCCAAGCGTTTATGGAGGGACCAGAGGGTGATAGTTTTCTGCTGACAAAGGAGGTCATCAAGGAACAGAGAAGAGGATGCAATGATTTCAAGCGGATTTCGCGATATTTGGGGGAATGTAAACAGCCTGACAGCCCGTATGCTTATTTTGTATGTTTCTGTGGGTTTCTATGCATTTTGATCGCCATCGGCTGTTCGTATTCATACGGTCTTCTATTCCCAGTGCTACTGCACGAATTCAAAGAAGGAAAAGCCAAGACAGGTAAGACATCGGTTTTAATTTCCCTTTCTGTTGCTGAGCTACGTAAATCGTGCCGCTAGATTACCATACTTTCTTTAACACCTACAGTGAAACCTCTACTAAGCGGACACTAAGCCGGGTCCCGAAATTGACGTCTCATATTTTCCTTCGTAACGAACCCTAATTCAGCGGACACCTCTACTAAGAGGACGCGGGCACTAAAATAACATGTATTTGGTTAATTTCTAGTGTTAAAATCCTCTAGTAGTGGGGAACCGGTCTGAATTGAGTGTGTAGTGTATGGGATACATCATTGAAATAGTCAATTAAAAGTAATCAGTCCATGTACCATTGCTGTTTTGCGTATTACCAACAAATAAAGTTGGTAATGAAAGGTAATGAACTTGAACTCTGGATAGCTTCGTTAACAACATGGAACTTTATCACAGTACAGAGTAACCGTTGAATGTGAATCGTTAACAAACATTGCGCAATTTTTACGAATCTCTATTAAGCGGACCCTCGGGATGGTCCCGCGAGACGTCCGATTTATAGAGGTTTCATTGCTGTATAAAGACGAGACTTATTGTCAGATGCACCCAACGCCTTTTCTGTTAAATAAACATAGATATCTCCGTTAGTATTTCACAATGTATTCAAGTTCTTGTAATACAAAGACTTCATGGGTAAAGTTTGACATAAAACTTATCATGGGTTTCTGTCAGGAGTTAGTGCTTGCGCTCTGCGAGACCGTTGTTTTCTGTTTGTTGTTTTTTTTTTCTTATCTGTTCTTCCAGCTTGGGTTGGTTCTCTGGCGTATGCATGCAGCAGTCTATTCGGACCAGTTGTAGGACTTCTTTGTGATCGATTCAACCACCGTACAGTTGGTATTGCAGGGGGTATTATCTCTACCATGGCCCTCCTTGCTACTTCGCAAGCTCCAAATCTAACTCTGATGTACTTCACGTTTGGCGTTGCGTTTGGCTTTGGAAATTGCTGTATCTTCTTTGTTGTGCTAACTATAATGCCCAAGTACTTCATCAAAAGGCGCTCGTTAGCAACAGGGCTCGTTCTTATGGGGTGTGGAGGGGGATTAATTGTAATGAGCCCCATCATTCAGGCCTTGTTGACAGTGAGCTCATGGAGAATCACATTTATTGCCATGGCAGGGATGTTGTTCGTGACTTGCATATTGTCTTGTTCATTCGACTCGAAGATTGGGGACAACGATAAGGACAGCACTGATCAAGACAAGCAGCCGAACAAGTTGTGCCCTACGTTAGATTTTTCATATCTGAGAAATAAGCAGTTTGTTATCCATCTAATTGGAAGTATCACGTGTTTTTGCGGAATCACAGTTCCTTTGGTTCACATGGTAAGTTGATGTGAAACTTGAAGTGGATCACTTACACGCCCCGGTGAACGATGATGATGTAAATGAAGATGGTAAATTTAAAGCCTGTTTATTTAGGTGAAAGAAGATGTTTTTTTTCAGTTAATGAAAAATTAAGGCATACTCGGAGAAAAAAGCCTTTGTTTAGGACTCCGAGTGCTCTCAATGGGAGTCGAACGCGTTAAAGCCTGACAGTGCTCCCTTGATCATGTTGGAAAAGATATAATAGATATTTAGTCTTCATTACCTCATCGCACAAACCATTGTGCTAGTAAAGCATTACCTAACAATTGAGCTCAAGCTCAGGTTACACTTGTTCTCCTACAGGCAGAGTACTGTCAAGAACGTGGAATTGACGCAAACCGCGCATCTATGATGTATTTTTGGAACGGAATAGTGACAGTTATTTTGAGGGCATTAACGGGTTCCGTGTGCGACAGGAACAAACTGTATCCAAGGCTAATTATGCAAGTGGCAGTTTTCGTTGCCGGAGCAACTACAATCCTAACCACCTTAACGCAGTCGTACACCGAACTATTGATCTGTTTTGTCGCTTACGCTGTTGCCGACGGGGCTATAGTCACTTCAATGAACATCTTGGCTTTGGCAGCACTTTCCCCAAAACAACGCTCTCAAGGATTTGGATTTTTCCATTTCTGTATTGCGTTCGCTTTAGCAGTGGGCCCCCCTTTCGGAGGTGAGTGCAAACGCTGGCCCTTGATTTCTTTTACGTTACCTTTCATACTATTTGCTAAGGTTAAGCTTCTTGGAAAACGAGCATCAATGAAAGCAGTGCCTACACGAGTCTTTTCTTATTAACAGAAGATCTATTCATTAAAAATTATTGGAAGAGGTTGAGAAAAACATCATGATTTGCCAATGGCAAGAAAGAGAGGATAATTTATCCTCTCCTATGGTAAGTAAATAAATTATTGCCAAAGCTGGTGACTGTGGAAAACCATTCTGCGAGGCAGTTTCTTTAATCAATCCCTTTTAAATTTTTTTTAGGTTTTCTTGCCGACTTCTCCGGATCATACTCCCTCACATTCTATGTAGCAGGAGCGTTCCACGTGTTAGCTGGTTGTATTCTGCTCTTGTCACACTGTGTTTCAAGTCCCAATGTCGCTCAGGAACACTCTAAGCAACTTTCACCACACGAGCAATGTCTAATTGTTGATGTTGTAACAGTATTATGAGATTTTGCCTATAAACCGGTTGTAGTTTTAACCAAAGAGAGAAACTTTTAAGAAAAAAAATTATCTCATTATGTATGTTATGATAAACATTCATCATTTCATTAAAGAGTACACGGTTAATATTCTATAAACTTGAAATATGGGTCTAGTCGGCTGTGAAAAAATGGTGGACGATGACTTAATCGTGACATCATAAAATGATAAAATAGCATGTTTTGCTAATTACTAAGCTCACCCCTATACACCCTCACCCCTCTAAACTGTCCTTCAGCCAAACGGTTTATTCGTAAGGGAGCAGTCTGATGGACCATCACATCCTAATGCCTTTGCCTTCAAAACTCATGTTCCTGTCTTTTTTTATGAGATAACGATTCTTTTCAACTGATTCTTTTCAAATTAACTCCCCATGATTTACCATGGAAAACAGGTTAAGCCCATTTTGAATTCTCAGAGGTGAACCATCTTTTATCGTAACAGCCTTCTTTGGCAGATGTGGATCATTCTTGGAGGTGCGCATTTGCTCAGGTAGTGAAATTGATTTGAAACGGCGTCAGATTTGAATTCACGTTTTTGCTTCAGGGTACTGATTCAATTTATATGAACAATTGATAAGGCCAAAAGTGGAAATTTGAATAGCCCCAAAGAAAGACTTGAGCCTCCAACAACTAAAGAGGGTTTAAATGGCCAGTTTTGTAGTATTCCAATCATATGAAAATTGGTTACCAGTTGTTTCGTACCCACGGTCGTTTCGTACCCAACTAGGTCAATTCGTACCCAATCAGTCGTTTCCTACCCATACTAAAAAAGTACGTTTTCCACGTTAAGTATGTTTAAAGTAAGAATAGAATGAACGAATAAACGAGGATAAACTAATCTACTACAAAGGGAGAAAAATATCACACTATCACTAGCTATTATTGTTAAGAACGTCTCAAGTATAAACAATGGACTGTTATATCATGAATACCACATTTACTTTGCACTAGGCAATAATTTGGTGTTTGTCAAGAGGATCACAAGCCGGGATACAAAACAGAATTTTTCTGATATGTTACTCACATGACTCTGTTAACTAGTCGTAAGCAACAATCGACATCTGTTCACGCGCTCGCTAGAGGTACTCCGAATGATTGTATATTGGTATGGGTGCGAATTGACCGGCAGTTCGGGTACGAATCAACCGGCGCTTCGGGTACGAACCGACTTGTTCTGGATACGATCGACCGGCGGTCTGGTTACGAACCGACTGGGCACGAAACAACCGTGAGTACGAAACGACTGGAAACCAATACTTTGGCTTTAATGAACATCTTCAGTTTATATCAATACTACTCTTTTTAGTCTGTTTAGTGAAGAACATTGGTACCCGATGCAAAGCCTTCCCCGACTCGTCTCAAAACTTTGGGGAGAGAGGGGGGAAAAGAAACGAGAAACCCGCGTCTCACAGCGCTCGTGATGAGGGCCTGGTCGCGGGTTAAACGTCATCGTCTCATTGCTACTCTTAACACTCTTTGAGGAGGCCATTGGTTCGTTATAAGGTTATACCCCCTTAACCAACCTGGGGAAGGGGGGGGGAGGGTTCTTGCAAGCACCCAGCCACGCCCTAGCCAGATGGTTTGATCCTTGGAGATTCGTCTGCATGTGAAACTTCAAACACTAAGATGAAATAACACCAAGAAACACGTGAATGAAAATTGCGCTATAATCTATTGATTATTTTCTATCAGTAAAGTTATGTAATTTCTTTCTTGGTATCAGAATTTAAACGAGTGAAAAAACTAGATCATTTAGCTAGAAAAAGAGATATGGAAATTTCCCATCGGGCTGAGAAAATTTCGTGAATTACGTTGTGTTCTTGCAGATAACAGACGCACAATGTACCATAATATGTAACCCGCTCGTGCAAAGCCAATTTTCTTCGTATTCCACTAATCGTTTGCGACATTCCCCTTGGGTCTTTTGAGGGCTTTTCCTCATGCGAAGCATAAGAAATAAAAAAGGATTTCTGAAAGCTCACGGATTTTTCTCTCCTGTATTTCGAACTGGCCGTTCTTCTGGAGTTCAACTCTTTAACCCCAAGAAGTGATTAACATGTAACTTCTCCCGATAACATCTAGACATTATCCTGCAAACAGGTAACGAGAATACTCAAACTTATCGGATGGAAGATGTTATCTTGCTCTAGCAGCAAATTCTCATAACTTATTTAAAAAGAAATGTGTATGAGGTAAGGGAGAATTAACAATTAGACCCTGGGAGCTTGAAAGGTTTTAACCACTGCTTTTGATATAATTGCCTTTAATTCCCATGCTCTTGCGCACTTGTTTGAAATTGCAAATAATTTCAAGTCAAATGGCTTGAAATATTTATGCCGAATTCTCTTGAAGTCAGGGTAGGAAAATTTCTTAATCAAAGTAAACTTAACATCACTACAGTAACAGGAAGAAGAAATCAACGAGAGCCATCAACCTATCAACAAACGCCATACTTTTTAAACTGTGAGCTCTCCCTTAAACAATAAAACCAGCACCTCTTATATCGTGCATCATCATAAATAACAATTTACGTACAAGATAACATAGCGTCTGTATTACTTCTTCATCGATTTTCGTATCAAGGCCAACCTCTGCAAGATACAAAAAGTGGCGGAAAATATCTCAGAAACAACGTAAAAACAAACCAATAAATGATACTTTTCAACGAAATTAGCCCTGTGATAAGGAACTTCGCCATACGAAAGAGCATCCCAGTCCAAGTCAGATCGTAAAACGGAGAGAGAGTGACGCGGATAAGAAAGTCAACAATGAATCATTTAAGTAAGAGACGCCTGTCCTTTAAACCATTTAATCCTCCTCTCTACTAGAGAATAAGATGACCCTGGCAATAAAACAGTGACGGCGTTATTGGGTTGGAACATTATTTCAAACTAAATTTTCCTCTCAATTAGTTATAAAATTCCGTTCCAATTACCCTTCACGAATTTCAGTTTGACAGATTGGTGACTGATATTTATTTGAAAAGCCGCGGCAATCGAACACCAAAGATATATGTTTCAGACAGTATAAACGACAGCTCTATTCAAATTGAGATAAACTCTAACCAAGTCTGGCTACCTTGGTACTTCAAATGACCAAAATCCGTTTTAATCTTTTCTTTTTTCAATCTTCCACAACTTAAATAAATTGTTCTGAATTGCACCAAACAGTTTTAAAGTTGAGCCTTTATTTCGATATTTTTCGTCCATGTAAGTTACAGCCAATAGATTGGTTGCAAAAATTTTCTTACAATTGTGAATTAACCCTATTATGACAAGAACGGCGAGAATTTGAAACAACCTTTTTTGCACTGACCTGTTTGTGAGCTTCTGTAGTGGCCTGTTTCTTAAACGGTCGAAGTTCATCGCTACCAAATCCAGGGATCCACATGTTCCAACACCTTTCTATAAAATGTACACAGAACAACCAAAACAAAAATAATAAGATAACAGACGATACATACTAGTTGAGATACTCAGTGCAAGACAAGTGTTTAATTATTTTGGCCTAAAAAGAGGCAGTGATTATCTCGGTCTAACGCATCAAACTGGTTAGAGAGCTTTGACAGTGCGAGAATAAAATGCCTTGCCTTAGAACACAATTCACTAACCCTAGTACATCTAACTTTTGATCTGGCGTTCAACTCGTCAACCATTTAGCAACCACGTCTCCCGCCATTGCTCCAGGAGCTTTTACCTGTTTCTGTCACATGAAATGACGACTTAACAATACTGCTACTTCCCCTGGACGGGATGTTACTTCATTCAAGCGATAACCACCCCACCCCCCTCTTCCTAAGCATTTTGTCATGTTTCCTTGTTTCCTTTACAGTTTGCAGGCAGCAATTTATATTCGTGGGGGGGGGGGGGGGAGGGGGGGGGAAGGCAGAAGAAGCAATGCGAGAGTTAAATCTCTTGCCCAAGAGCACAACTCAAGGACCCCTATGGGGGGTCGACCCCAGACCTCTTGATCGAGAGTCCGGCTTAGTAACCATTACACTAGCATGTCTCTTAATACCTACACATGCACTGTTAAGAAATATGTTGATGAGAATAGTCTAATCGTGATTGAACTCTGTGAAATACAAACCTAGGTGCAGCTGAACATCTCGTACTTCTAATGTGTTTGATTTTCGATGCTTAGCGATCTGACAGGAAGCCGTTACAACACTTTCTATAAAGTCATCTGCAATCTGCAGTAACAGCTGTAACACGGAAAACAAACCAGTCTTAAAATTTTTAGAAGAAGTTCCTCACAGTAGCTTAACCACTTCACTCTCAATATCTAATAAATCATTCCCCTTACTTCTCACAGTTTTAGTACTGAGAAGTTGGTTTTATCTTAGGGTTAAAAGTTCGCCAAAAGTTTGACAGGAATGGAGTCACTAAACGCTGCAACCGTCAGCCAAATAGGACAAATCTCCTGAATTTATTTTGTAACAAAGCAAAATTCTTTGTAGTAACCTTTTGGGCCAGGATAAAATCCTTAGTTGATCAAGCTTGTCTGGCCAAGAAGGCTGAAAACAATAATTTTGCCAATTTGCACTCATCATAACCCCAGGCTATGTCGATGAATCGGACGTACGATGAACAATCAGAAACAACATGCTGCTTGTCTATTCTTAGCTTGTACAGAGCTGCCCCTTGGAGCTTTGTTTGGCAACATTACTCACCAACACTGTAAGTAGTTTTTGAAAGTATCTAAGACACCACACTTGCTTGCAACCTTATAATAAAGAAAAAGGGACGGGGGGGGAGGGGGGGGGGAAGAAACTCACATCCTCAACATCATCGTCCATCTGTTCTCGAGGGTCAATCTCGTGAAGCAAGTCTTGCAGTCGTCGTTTGGTCAGAACTTGGTTTGGTGCCGGGCTACTACTGTCCCCCCTCAGGGCTGTTCCTAGAAATGAGTAGTGATAAAGATAATGCGACACAAATTAGAACTAAGGGAAAAAAAAACCGAGCGAAAGATAGCATTTCAATTGATATTGTCAAACCATTCGCCCAGTCAATGTCGAGGAACCAAAATC